GGGGGGGGGGTAGCTTTCCTTATAGTCATTGCATAATCACCGAATGAAAAGTTGCATGGCTATTCATGACTTTTTGGAGGATCCGACACGGACGCGACAGCATTTTGAAGGATCATAGCAACATAGAGTTACTAAACAGAATGCTCTGTTGCTCAGGTTTTAGTATAGCTGGTAAAGAATATAGCTGAATTGTGAACTTCAGAAGAGAATCTAATGATCAGAGCTTTGTTCTTGTAATTCAGCCGCTTGTGAAACTCAATGAATTCTGGGAAATCATTTGATTAACCTGATGATACATGTCCGATTGGTGAGAAATTGGGCAAGTTTGACATGCTATACCATCCTACTAGAGTATGCTTTCTCCACATAGTGGCACAAACAAGGTATTGCGACACAAGGCGAAGTCAAAAATGAGGCAGATAATCATGTAAAGCAATGCTTCAAGTGGGAAACAAGGGAGGAAGCAGTGACTAGCTGTTATGGCACTGCAAAATAACTAATGAACAGCGGAAACATTCCTATCTTTACTGGGAATGGAGTGGATAATGCCTCGAACGACAGCTGAGTTGCTGGCATTGGAGGGATGCCTAGAGGAAGAGCTACTAATATTGATCTGGAAGCCACTCGCCAGTCTGAAAGTGAAAATTTCGGGAAGAATTCGAGGGGTTGGCTCTGATTAGACAGAATAAAAGGTAGATGCTTATAAGCCTCATACTTTTGGTTTAAACTAGAAAAGGTAGATGGCCAAGAGGATTTCACAGCCTTTTGAGCTCACTAGACATACAGCTTTTGTCAAGACATTGTAGCACTCTCTTGGTGCACATTTCTCTCGTTGATAAAATATTTACTTATATTCTTAACAAATAGTCGGTTTGTCTCTCAAAGGATATTCAAAAGTGCTTTTTTTGGCTGTCCACTCTGTACATGTGAAATTTATCTCAAGATACAATGCCTTTTACATGATCCTAAAACACGTAAGTATCCATGTTGCACTGCTTATATGTTTTAGCATAAATTTCATTTAGATTTTGTGTCCTAAACTTTCTAAGATTCCATAAACATGCAAGCCGGTATTATAGGTGATGTGCTGGATTCTAGAAAGGTGTGAATGGTGTTGTCCCATACTGATGAGTTATCGGAGCACACAAAATGCTCCTTATCAGATCAGCTATATTTTCCTTCCCCGTTTTTTCCCTTCAGAAAGTGGAAACAGAAGGGAAGGCAAGGAATGAGATATGACTGAAGCATTGTTAAGTAATCAGGCAATTAAAAGAATGAAAGACCAACCAGATCAACATTAGGTACATCAAGTCCTCGAGCAGCAACATCAGTGGCCACTAATACATTGAATTGACCTTGTCGGAAACCGGACAGAGTTCTCTCCCTCTGGCTTTGCGTGATATCCCCATGCAAAGCTTCACATCTCAAAGTTTTTTGCATTGCACTCGCCAATCTATCAGCATCACGCTTTGTTTGGGTAAACACAATACACTTGCCTCCTTTTGCATGCTCCTGAAGAACAAATAGATGCTCAGTCTTGAAAAAAAAAAAGAAATCATTTTACTCCTTAGGTGGATAGCAACAACATGCAATGACACTAGATCAATAGGTTAGATATGAAGTAGAACTGAAAAGAGACTTAGGTTATAGATTCATACTGATATTAAGGGTCCAAGAACTGCTGGTTTCTGACGCATCTCACAAGCAATTGAATACAAGGAAATGCCATCGGCTAATTTCTGGTCAGAATCCCCTACCTGCACACACATTTACACATAATTATTTAGCATAAAAACCTCTAGGGTACTCAATAAAAATAAGACAGAAGGCCTGTCCACATGGTGAGAAAAGCGGCCTCACAAGATCAATGTGAATTGGCTTCTTCAAGAACTTGTTGGTAATTTTCATTATCCAACTTGGCATTGTGGCTGAAAACATCATCGTCTGATGTTTCTGCCGAACATTTTCAAGAATGGTTTCAACATCCTCCGCGAAGCCCACATTAAGCATCTGATCAGCTTCATCTAGAACAACGAACTGGATTTCTGATAAATTTAAGGACCTCCTCTTCAGCAGATCAATGATTCGACCAGGTGTTCCAACAACAATGTCTGCACCCCTTTGAAGAGTACTCATTTGGCGTTGAATGGGGACACCACCATAAACACACAGTGTATCCAAACCGGGAGCAGATTCATAAAATTCTTTCTCCACCTGGCGTGCAAGTTCTCTAGTGGGAGCCAAGATCAATGCTAAAGGGTTTCTTCCCCGTCTGTATAGTTTAGAATAACCAAAAAGAATTTCAATTTTAACGAATTTCTTATTCTCAACAAATAAGCAGAATCAAATAAAGAATCATCAATATCTCTCTGACAAACTTACGATGTGATAATATTCAATGCTACTACCATATTTAACTATTACTAAAATAAATTCTACAAAGAAGAACAGAGTGAACAACCCTTTTTTGTTGTTGAATTTGATGATCTTATCCATGATAGGAATGCCAAAAGCTAGTGTCTTTCCAGTTCCAGTTCTAGCTCGGCCAATCATGTCCGACCCCTGCATTGCTGGTTCCAAAACAGCTTTCTGATACAAACCAAAATGAAAAGATTCTAGAATCAGAAATTGTTCCGCAGATTTTCAATTGATTAGAAACCAAAACCAAATGAAAATATGTAGGTTGGAAAGACAAACTTAAGTTTCCCCCATTTGTGTGTATGCAGTAGGGAAGCCAAAAACTTCAGTAAGAGCATTAAAAAATGTAAAAACGTCACACCTAAGATATGAACCTTTGTCAAGGGGATTCAATAGTTTATGTATAAAAAAGAATTTGTCTTTACCCTTTTTGCACAGTGCAATTTTTCGGCAAAGGGGATTCAACTGAACCCCCTTCACTAAAGGTAGCTCCGCCACTGCGTTTAAGGGCCTGCATTGCACTATATGACCAAATTAATCTAAGCATATGGAGACCAAAACTCTGAACAGAAAGCTCACCAAAAAAACGACAACGATAAGAAGTAAGGAACGATCTTCCCCACCTGACACCTCAACATTCTTTACAAGAATATACTACAATATCTTCTAAACGATCGGCTTAATGCCATTGCCTGCTTTAACTTATCAGTCCTAAATAACTTCACATGCAGAGAGAGTGTCCTCCATCAAGTCATTTCCCTTTCTTCAGACTGTCCAATGCAAAAACAAGACCTCGTGGAAGTCATAGGAAATCCTGGACAGATTTTTGTACAAATTTTAGTGCAAACTGCATTAATACTGTGATGAAGTGAACAGCCGCATAAAACCTATGTGCAGAAAACCCTCTTTAATTCCAAATCACTCTTTTCTATATAAAATATAAACACACAGAGAGAAAATTAGGAGGTACAAATGCTGTTATCTTTTTCCAAAACAAATGACACATGCGCAGAGAGCCTCATATTCTAAATTACCCTTTTCTCTCAAAAAAATATGTTAACACCACCAATCAACACACAAATTTACATCAAAATAGGAGTTAAAAATGCTTTTTTCCTCAGACGGAAATGACCCATGTGCAGAGAACCCCTCTAAGTCTAAGCTCTACTCTTTCTATCAAAAAACTTGAATACCATCAATGAATACACCAATATAGCAAACCATGAGCTAAAAATGCTGTCCTCTTCCTTTCAGATAGAATCTTGAATACCACCAATCAATAAAGCACAAAAAATATAGCAAAATTGGGAGCTAAAGATGCCGTCTTTTTTATTTCAGATAGAATCTTGAATACCATCAATGAAATACACACAAAATATAGCAAACTTAAGAGTAAAAAATGCTGTCTTTTTTAAGGCAAAAACACTACGTGATTTCTTCACCATTTGTCCAAGCCTTGGCGGACGAGTTACACATAAATTAACTGGGCCGGACACCACGGCTATTAAAAATGCTATTTTTTTCAGATAGAATTTTGAATATCATCAATCAATAGACACACTAATATAGCAAAATTAGTAGCTAAAAATGCTGTCTTTTTTGTCACATAACAATAAATTATAACAGTTCAATAAAAACACCTGAATAGGAAAAAGAGAAGTAATTCCCCTTTGTGCCAAAGCAGAAACAATTTCCTCAGAAATACCCAGCTTTGATATCTCAAGCCCAACCCCATTATCAACATCACACTCTTCTTCTAATTCTACAAACGCAGTAGCAGCCACATTAAATGCCCTCACACTATACCCAAAATTACCATTAACCCAATTCGACACTGCTGCTGATGGAGTTACAGAAGTGGTAAAGCTGTGAATTTGTGAAACTTTAAGCCCATTTCTTGGAATGAATTTATCAGTAAAGATATGGGAAAGTGAATTTAAGGTGACCCTTTTTGAGGTTAGTGAAGATGAAGTGTTTCTTAGTAGAAAAAGACTATTCATTTTGCTGTATCTTAAAGGAGTGGAGAGGGAAGCCATTTTCTTCCCTTTGGTGATAAGGTTTTTGGTAGGGTTTATGAGAATAGAGAGAGCGTTAAGCGATAAGCCCCCTAGGGAAGATTTATATGCGGGTGGAAGGGGGTTTGTATCAAATAGAAAAGATCAAAACAGTCCCATAAGTTTGGAGTTCATTCAAAATGATCGCATGTATAAGGTGAAATACTTAGATAGCCCTTTAAATTTGGCACGATATTTCAGTTAAACATTCAAATTTAGTTAGTGATCAAATAGACACCTCCAATTAAGAATATTGCATCTTTTGAACACCTCGTGCTGACATGATAAAACACGTGTTAGATTCTTTTATGTGGATCTTACATTTTCACCATTTACCGCTAGTATTATCACTATCCTCAGCCGTAAACCACCATCAACTTCTTCCTTTTTTTTAAAGCTACCACTAATTTGAAAATTTTTGTGTTATTTTTTTAGAGTGAAAATTTTATTTTTGGAGAATTGGCCCTCTTGATTCGAATTTGACTGTTTATAAGAATTGATATTCTTGAAGATAATCTTCTTCTAGCTTCTTTATTTTTGGATTCAATTTTATCATTTTTTGGACGATCAAGTATGTACCTTATTGATTGTTGCTTAAGTTGTTCATCTAGGGCTCTTGAGATCTTTTTTTTACTAGTTAGACTATTCTCGATTATCGTAATCAAATTTTTATTTTTTATTTATTTTCAATTATTATTATTTTACTTTTTTTCGATGCCATTTATATCTTGGATCATAATACTAAAACACATCTTACCCTCTTTTATGAGATTTGTCAAGTGTTGCATGCTTAGATTCCCTCTTTACACAAAAATAATTATTTCGTTTGTTTAATTTCCTAACTTTTATCATTAGATTTTGTAATTGGTTCCTTTTCATGTTGGCTGATACTAAGTGTTTATCCGTAAAATAATACAGTTGAATTTATAAGCGGTTTTTAGACAAGTGAATTAATTCGATCCTGAAATAATAAAAGAATTGAAGAAATACGCAATACTTAGCCTTGAGATGAAGATGAAATAGCAGAAACAGTAATTCCAGGAGCAAGGCTTCCGGGCACAACAGTAACGAAATCAAAAAGTCAGAAAGTAAAATTGTATAAAGTTTCGCATAGATTATAGCATAAGTTTTTCAGAAAATTCCTCCCTTACAATGATAATAGAGCTCACAATTTATAGTTGTACCTAGGGAACAGGGTCCTAGGATCATGCCCTTCTTTAATGTCAGTTATGAGGGCCATTGAAGAATGTGTAATGGCAGGCATGAATGATAAATTCTTTGTAACGAGTAGTGTATTAAATGCTATAGAATATTCTCCATTAAATACTACCGGGTAACAGACATTAATTGCATCTTTATGAGAATCATTCTTTCTGGTAACAAACGGAACAGTTGTCTTCGGTTTCAGCTATCCTTTGCCTTTGGCTCCACGTGTCACGTTCTTATACAATTATTTAGCATAGCATATTTTACCATATTCCCCCTGCTTTCTGGTGACATAACTTTGTGTTACCAGGAAGTTGGTAGAAACGTTCCTTTTGGCGGGAATTTCATTGATCCCCTCTGAGAGACTTCTGACGATTGATTAGACGCACGTCACTCCGAATTTATTTCCCTGAATACGCGTCATCCCATGATTCAGCATAACTTTTGTCGTTATCGAGGTAATTATGGCCACGAATTTAGCCGCCTAAACCTTTACTTATACGCATCTACTTCCTTAATTTTACACTTCATAACACTCTAAATTTTCTAAGATTTCCTTTACTCAACTCATCTTCTGACTTCAACCTTTCCTCAACTTCCTTCGTTGAGAGATAAAACTCTTTTACTAATAAGAAATAGCATCCTCTTCAAGAAAACCTAGTTCTTCAAAGAACAAAGACAAAGCTGACGATGACGGTCCCCCTACAGTGAGTACCATTGTCCCAAAGAGCCTGATTACCACCAAAGATTTTGAAGAGAAGTTTCTTTCTACTAACTGTCGTACATGGGTCGTTGGCAGATATCCTTCTTCCATCCGTCCTTCCAGTATTCCTGTTGTGAAGGAAGATTGCATTTGGCAAGATTTAGACATTATTGCTCCTGATTTGACGGAGCGAATAACCATCCCCAGTATGATGAGAAAAACCTTGGAAGAGGCCAAAGCGGGTGTCACAGATTTTGACGCCAAAATTTCTAAGGCCCTTAAGTTGGAGTTAGCCGCAAAAAAAGGTCTTTCGGCCACGCCTGATGCTACCGATTCTTCTGGTTCCAGTTCTGAGTTCTCGGGAACTGGAGAGGACGCAGAAGGTGATGATGTTGAGGGCCAAGAAAATGAAGGCCAAGATATCGAATCGGCGGCAGATCTACCTACTTCCTCTAGGGGCACGAATGCTTCTCTTCCTCTGGGTTATGGAGATGCAGCAGTTTAGCTTTTACTTTGTTTTCCCAAATTTTGTACCTGTGCCATTTTGGCACATTTACTGTGAGTAAAAACATCTTTTTCTCAAGTATTGCATGAGTCTTTCTGCGTTTTTTAGTTTGAACATTTATGCAAGTTTTAATCTTTGCATTCTTTTTTGCTTAAGTGTTTTGCGCAAGTTTTGCTGTTTGCATCTGATTATGTAAGTTTTAGGTGTATTTTCCCCCTAAAGCATTTGGATTTCGGGCACAAGTCCTTCCAAAATCAACCCTTTATCGTGAGAATTTTTATAAGAGAGGGCCCTCTTATATTTACGGTGCTCTTGAAGAGGAAGTCTCTTGTTCATTACGGCACTAAAATTTGAAGTACTTGTTTAACTTTCAAATGACAAAATCAATTCATCGTTCAGATAAGAAACATGATAGAAACAAAAGGACTTTACTTTATTCCTTTCATTTTCAAAAAGTACATGAGCATTCTCTATGCTAAAAAGAGATTGTCATTTCTTGTGGCTAACTTGTACAACATGTTTCTACGAGGCTGGCTGCGCAGTCCCCTGTCCCGACGATACAACTATGTTTCCGATTTTCATTTCCCAGTCAACGTGGCAGTCATTGTTGACATATCCTTATATCATTCCCCCAGTGTTCGAATGAGAAAGAAGTGAATTGGAACACTGGAAGTTTTGCATCTTCAAGGATTCTACTAATGCATTGCTAGATAACCTTCAGTTCGATAACAAACTTCACTTCCCCTTAGAAATTTATGCTATCGAGCCAAACACTATCTAACAATCCCCTAGTGGTTTGCACTTGTGAACAGTCGGGTAACCTCTGCTTGATAGCAAACTTAATTTCCCGGTGGGAATTTTGCTACCGAGCAAAATATTATCTAACCGCTCCGTATTGGTTCTTTGCTTGTGTGCCTTGCTATTAAAGGACTTATTGCTGCTGTAGAAACCTTCTTCGTAGTATGCTTTCTGTTGCTGACTTGTTAAAAACCTTGCTAGAAAAAAATCAATTGGAAAAAAACTGAACGAAGGGAAAAAGAGTGCAACACAAACTTTTAGTACAAGTGATGTTCATCAGCAATAATATCTCTTGTGGTGTGCCACATTCCAGTTACTTGGCAACTTTTCTCCATTCTGATTCTCCAACTTGTATGGACCTTTCACGGTGACAACTGAAACCCGGTAAGGGGCCTTCCTAGGTTGGACCTAGCTTCCTTGCAATGAGTTCTCAGGTGTTTTGAGTTACTTTTCTTCGAACCAAGTCTCCTACTTTTAAATAATGAAGGTTGGATCTTCAATTATAATATCTTTTTATTCTCTGATTTTGGGTTGCCATTCTTATATACGCAAAGTCCATGCGTTCATCGAGTAGCTCCTAGTTGATTAACACTGCTTTTGTTGTTTTTCTCTTTATTTGCTTGAAAATATCTCAAGATGGGCTCCCCTACTTCAACCGGTATTAAAGCTTTTGCTCCGTACACAAGGGAAAAAGGATTTTATCCTGTGCTTGATTTGACCATTGTTCGGTATGCCCATAGCACTCCAGGCAGTTCCTCAGGCCATTTACCTTTGGCTGCTTCCAACCTCTTCTTGAGATTTTGTATAATCACTTTGTTCGTTGATTCTGCTTGACTGTTTGCGCTTAGATGATAGGGCGACGATGTGATTCTTTTGACTCTTCAAGAAATTTTGTGATCTTTGCGCCTATAAACTGTGGCCCATTATCACAGGCTATCTCTTTTAGTATTCCAAATCTACATAAGAAATCCATCACCTCACGTTCGTCGAGGGGCCGGCGGTAGTGGTCCAACAATATCCATTCCCCACTTCATGAACGACCATGGAGATAGAACTTAGTGTAATAATTCTACTGGTTGATGTACCAATAGTGAGTAGCGTTGACACTTATTGGATTTTTGCATGAAAGCTTTGGCGTCTTGTTCCATTCGGGGCCAATAGTATCCTGCCCTTATCAGTTTTAGTATTAAGGAGTCTGCGCCTGAATGATTTCCACATATCCCTTCGTGGACTTCCCACATAACATAATTAGTTTCGGACGCTCCCAAGCATCGAACCAGCGGGCCTTGGAAAGATTTCTTATACAATTGGCCTCCTTTGAAGCTATATCGCATTGCTTTGGCGTGCAATGCTCGGGATGCCTTGGAGTCTTAGGGCAACTTCCTGTGTTCGATATAATCAATGATCTCATTCCTCTAGTCCTAGACCAAGTTAGTCGTATTTACCTCATAGTAGCTATTTGCGTCCAGAACCGAGTATGTCAGCTGCACTACCGTCTTGGAATCCTATGTTACACCTTATGTTTTCGTACTTGGAAGTACTGTACAAGTAAATTGATATAATATCGGAAATGAGATGTTACATCCCGCATTTTCGTATGTTAAAGTTTCATCGCAAGTTAATCGATATAAGTTCGGGAGTGAGATTTATTTTGGGATTATAAGTATCACGCTATTTCAAATAAGGGATTAGTAAATTTGTAAAGGTGAGAGGGTAAGCAAATCGAAAAAAATAAGTTTCGTCGAAGTTTGGCAATTTGGGATAAAATACGGCCCGAGTTAAAATACCCAGTATTTATGGACTAGTACCATACAAGGTACC